CCCCGGGCCCCCCGCTCCGCCCCGGCCCGAGGCTGCCAGTCGGAGAGGGAGCGGGGAGAGAGTTTGGACTCTGGGAGCCTGAAGCGCGGGGCGGGGCCTGGCGCCTTTTGGGCACTCCTGTCTGCTAGACGTGGGGAAACTGAGGCAGGGTAGAGCGAGGGGGTTCTCGGCTGGACGTGCGCGGTTGGGCGGGCATCGCCCCCTCCCCCCACCATTGGCGCCAATGGGCCTGGGAGATGGGGGGGGGGGGTTGAGGAGGGCGCCTTAGGGCCACCCGCGGAGACTCCGCCCCCTCTGGGCTGCGGTCCGGTAGGGTTCTGCAAGACGGTACGTTCCCGCAAACTTCCGCGTCACGCGTCAGGGCTCCGAGCCCCTCAGAAGCACTGAGCAGGGCCGGCACTTCCAAGAGTCGCCCATGCGCCTGCGGGGAGAGCCGTACGCCTGGCCCTGCACGCGGCGTCGGGCTGCAGGCCTGTAGACACCGGGCCTGTGTACACACACGCACAACCCGGGAAGCCGCCCCGCCAGCCAAGGCTGCGCGCCCAGGGGCTGGCCAGGCCCGGGTAAGGGGTTGGCCTTGCTCCCCCCAGCGTGGAGCTCTGAGTCTGGAAGTTCTCCCCCAGGTCTGTCCTCCTCCCGCCAGGAGCTAGCTTGGCTGCTGCAGACGTTGGGGGTGTGGGGAGGAAGAAGGGTGGGTCTGTCAATCAGGTGGCCGCTACCCAACCCCAGGTGCGAGGTCGCGGAGGGGGCAGGGCCACCAGATGACCACTGGACACTGGCCCCTGGCCGCTGGACTGCATCCCTGCCTCAGGGCCTGGTCTCACTGAGGACTTTGGCCTCATGGGGTGGGGTGGGGGGAGATGGTAGATGAAGATTCAGAGTGGACAGCAGGGGCGTCTCAGGTAAAGTGAAGTCAAGGGGCCTTGGGGCTGATCCCTCAACAGTAATGCAGGCCGTGAGAAAAAGAGTACTCCTGCCCTCTCCTCCAGGAAGCCCACTCCCTTCCCCTTCTCCAGGCAGCCCACTCACTAATGCAGGTGATTTTCCGTCCACACTAGACCTACTGGGGCTGCTGTACGGGTTCTGGAGCAAGGACTGGTGCAGCCCCTGGCAGGGGCATTTCAGGGAGAGCCCGGAAGGGTGGGGGGTACAGCCGGATCCTCCCAGCTTAGGGATCTGCACCTGGACACATGCACAGGCCGGTGTCACACACCAGCGACTTGGGCCTCCCTACTGCAGGTGACCAGAAGTCAGCGGCTTCCCAGAAGCCCCGGAGCCGGGGCATTCTCCACTCACTGTTCTGCTGCGTCTGCCGTGACGATGGGGAGAACTTGCCGGCTCACAGTGGGGCACCCCTGCTTGTGGAGGAGAACGGTGCCATCCCCAAGGTGCGCAGTGGCGAGGGGCACCTGGGCTCTGCTGGGCGGGGGCACGGGGAGGAACTGCCGGGGATCAGGGTACACCTACAGACACAGGGAGGTAAGGAGAAGGGTGCCACTTTCCCCACCCACCTGGTTCTGTGTGCCCCAAGACTGCAGCCCAGGGAGGGCCCCTCACAGGGGGTGCCCCGAATTTACTCTCTGTAGATGGCAGCTTCTCTCTGTGTCAGTGTTCCAGGTGTGGAAAGGTGGCCCAGAGAGCAAGGTGGGGAGTTGTGTGTGCGCATGGTGCCTGCGGTTCCTCAGGTCCTGGGCTGGGGGAGGGCAGCCCGTGCAGAAGTGACGGGGCCTTGAGAGGTGCGCCCAGCCAGCCCCCTTCCCCACAGCAGACCTCAGTCCAGTACCTGCTCCCCGAGGCCAAGGCCCAGGACTCGGACAAGATCTGCGTGGTCATCGACCTGGACGAGACCCTGGTGCACAGCTCCTTCAAGGTGGGCCCTGCCCAGCAGCCTGCAGCCAGGGGCCTCCAGGGGGGCCTGGCCTGGCTGGGAGGGGGGTCTGCTCTCCCAGGCAGCTCCAGCAGCTCTTTTCCCCCCCACAGCCAGTGAACAACGCAGACTTCATCATCCCCGTGGAGATCGATGGGGTGGTCCACCAGGTGAGGGGCGGGGAGGAGGCAGTGGGTTTGGCGTCTGCCTTCCAGACCCCAGGCTTTGCCCATCAATCCAGAGAGCACCAGATAGAATTCTGCTGGATGTGGAATGTGGAATGTCACCCTGTGGGTGTGAGATTGCCTGCCTGCCTCCCTCAGGGGCACACAGAACCTCAGGGTTCCTCCTTCCATCCCCTCTTGTCACACCCCCTTGCCCCACCCTGCCCGGGACCCAGTTCAAGTAATTCAGGATAGGTTGTGTGCTGTCCAGCCTGTTCTCCATTACTTGGCTCGGGGGCCGGTGCCTTGCAGCCATGGGGCAAGGGGGGCTGCCCTGGGCTCCTGCATTTGGCCGAGGTGGAGGTGGGGGAAGGGACTGGGAATTAGCAAGTCCCACGAGGTAGGACCTGAAGCTGAGGAGTCAAAGTTCATTTTGAAGCTCTTCTGGGAGGGTGGTTGGGGCAGGCCTAGTGGAACCCACAGGCCCCGGACCCTCTGTCCTGCACTCCTGTGCCTCTACCCATTCTGCCCAGCCCTCAGGTGCCTCCCACCCACCTGGCCTGTGGCTAGCCGTCCCCTCACTGCCCCCTAGGTGTACGTGCTGAAGCGGCCCCACGTCGATGAGTTCCTGCAGAGAATGGGTGAGCTCTTCGAGTGTGTGCTGTTCACCGCCAGCCTCGCCAAGGTGAGCTCCTACTCCAGGAGTCCTGGGCAGCCCTGCCCTCCCATCGACCCCTCTGGGTCACCCTCAGCCCCAGCATGACCCACCTCTTGCCCTCCCCCGACCGGCCCTGTGGCTAGCCGTCCCCTCACTGCCCCCTAGGTGTACGTGCTGAAGCGGCCCCACGTCGATGAGTTCCTGCAGAGAATGGGTGAGCTCTTCGAGTGTGGGCTGTCCCCCGCCAGCCTCGCCAAGGTGAGCTCCTACTCCAGGAGTCCTGGGCAGCCCTGCCCTCCCATCGACCCCTCTGGGTCACCCTCAGCCCCAGCATGACCCACCTCTTGCCCTGCCAGTACGCAGACCCAGTTGCTGACCTGCTGGACAAGTGGGGAGCCTTCCGGGCGCGACTGTTCCGAGAGTCATGCGTCTTCCACCGTGGGAACTATGTGAAAGACCTGAGCCGGCTGGGCCGAGACCTCCGACGGGTGCTCATCCTGGACAACTCGCCCGCCTCCTATGTCTTCCATCCGGACAACGCCGTGAGTACAGGCGGGACAGGGACATGAGCTTGAGGCCCAAGGACAGGGGCAGTTCATTCAGGTGGCCTCCGCCTCCCTGGCAAATCAGGTGGCCATGGGGGGGGTTGATGCCTTCACATTGCTTTTACCCATCCAGCTACCTCTGCCTCTACCCACTGCTGCAGCCTCCTCTGTACCCATCAGATCCTTGTTTTCTTGTGCAGAGGGTGCCTGCCAGGGGCTGTGGTGCCCACCTGGCCATAGAGCAATTGCAGCTTTTCCTTTTTTACTGTGCCAGAAGGCCCGTGGGCTTGCTGGAGAGAGACAGAGAAAGAGAGAGATGGAAAGTGAGAACATATCCCCCGTGGGGGGGAACAGTCATGCCACAGTCCCTCCTGCTCCATCCCTCCCTCCTTATGGGATTTTAGGCATGCACATGCACCAGCGTGTTCTCCAAGTTACTGGCGCTGGGACCTGAACTGCGTTAGTCAGCCACGTGGGATCCAGCCACCTTAACTGCCACGCCACCAGCTGATCCGGTTTCAACTTTTTCAGCTACCTGTTGTGACCCATTAATGAACCACAGAAGTGATTTAGTGGGTCCTGATTGGGATTTTTTTTTTAGAGAGAGATTTTTGCTATAGAGACAGAAAGCAAGAAATCACCCTCCCACGGGGGATAGCCATGCTGCAATCCCTTCTCCATTCCTGGGATTTGGGGCATGCATCCATGCACATGTGCTTGATGTGAGTTTTAAGTCACTGGGTCCCAGACTCTAATTGCAGTCAACTATGCGAGAGAAAAATGAAATAGGATGGAAAATATGAGAGTACTTTTGCACACAGTGAGATTAGGTATTTGTGAAACTTGCTTGTTAAAGGTATAACGTGTTTTACTGGGGGTTGCTGTCAGGAAGTTTCAACACTGCAGGTGAAGGGGTTGCTAGGAGTCCGTGTGTATGGGAGCTTAGGGGTGGCCTGGACATCTGCAAGGTCCCCATCCCTCCACCTCTGCATTCCCATCTCCCCAGGTACCGGTGGCCTCGTGGTTTGACAACATGAGTGACACAGAGCTCCACGACCTCCTCCCCTTCTTTGAGCAGCTCAGCCGTGTGGACGACGTGTACTCAGTGCTCAGGCAGCCGCGGCCTGGGAGCTAGTGAGGCGCCATGGGGCCAGAACCTGCCCCTGACCGTTGGCACTCCTCCTCACACGCAGACTCCCAGCAGCAGCCTCCGTGGGCCACACTCAGCGCCCTGGGGAAGCAGTTGTCTCCCCCACCAGCCCTGCCAGACTGCAGCAGGGAGGAACGGGCAGCATGGAGCCCCTGAGCCCCTGTGTCAGTGCCTTCAAACTTCTTCACCCCCAGGGGACTTGGGGGCCCTGCCTACCACCTCCCTTTCTGCCTCCTCCTCTGTGCTGCCTTGTTTCTCTGCTGCCAAGCTGGGCCCCATGGCCCCTCCTGATTCTGCTTGGGGAAGCAGGTTCGCTGCCTTGCGCCCTGGGTCCTCGGCCTGGGAAGGACAGATACCAAGTGCCTTGCATAGAGCCCCTGTCCTACCCAGCCTTCCCAGGAACACGGGTTGCTCTTGCCTGGAACGTCCTGCCCTCCCGCCCATTGTCACAGCCTAGGCTGGTCAGGAAGGAACGGGTTGCCCCTTCCCCACCTCCCTGGGGACTGATGGAGCCCCCTAATCTCCCTGGGGTGGGGGGAGAGGAGACAGGGCTGTTACCACTTGGGAAGGGAGCAGAGGTCCATCCTGCAGGACTCTGCAGTTCAGCTTCTCCTGGCCGAGGGCTGTTCCGGCATCGCCCGAGCCACCTCCTTACTTCTGCCTTAACCCCCCAAAAGTCCTGGGACTTGGTGCTCCCAGCACTGAGTGAGCACAGGCAGGACCCCTCGTGGTGCCATATAAATATGTATATGTGTATATAGAGTTTTAGGGGAAGGAGGGAGGATGGGGAGGGGTAGAGACTCCTTTCCTATGTGCCTTTCCTGGGCCCAGAAATTGAGGGGAGGGAGGGAAAGGATTTTTACATTTTTCTAAGTGCTGTTTTCTGAATGGAACAAGCTGGGCCCAGGGCCCTGGGCCCAGTCCTGTTCTCCCACACCCTTTGCTCCATTCATGTAAAAGACGTTTATTGAGCACCTGTGCCCAGCACTGAGCTAGGCCACCTGCTATGGGTATGGGAGTGTCTACACAACCCAGTGGTTCCTCCCCACCCACTCCAGACTTCACCAGTGCCTTTGGGAATCTGCAGGAGGTGGGACCTTGTGGGGTTTGGGGGTAGAGCTCCAGGAATCCTGACCAAGCTGCCCCCTCCCCTGTGCCAACCCACCCCCTGTAGGGGACCCTCACCTTGCCCCCTGCTGGCTGGGGGCAGTTCCTGGGACATCCTGCCTTCCAACTCTTGACTCCTCTTTCTGAAACCTTACCCATTCTTGTGAGTCTAGAGGTCAAGGCCTTGGGCACCCCCAGGGTCTAATGGTTAAGGGGACCCACTACCAGTGCCAAGGGGGATGTCAAGTGATGTCACCCGCCCTCCCTCCCGCAGATCTGGTGTGGTGCGGGGAGGGAGGCCTGAAATGGGACATTTAAGTGCCTTCTCTGACAGCCCGATGGTGTGGAGAGAACTAAAGAGAAAGCCAGACCCCGCCCCCCAAACTTGTTTCTGTGGTTCTTACGTGGGGGGTAGGAGGGACGGCTTGTGTGTCTTATACCTGTAACTACAGGTATAAGCGAGTGGCCTCTTCAGCAAGCCTTTGCAGGGAGGCAGAAGATGGTCGCGGAGGAAGGATGTGGCTCAGGCTCCCGGCACAGGCCCGGTGAAGGTGGCCGGGTTAAGAGCACGGCTTAGAGTGTAGCCGGGGCCGTGCTGTTCTACTTCATTAACTGCCTGTCCTAGCCTGGGCGACCTGGCCTGCAAGATGCAGACAGGCTTCTATACAGACCTCGTTTAATGTCTGGACACTGACGACTCCTTGCTGTCAGCTCTAACGCAAAACCAGGCAGTGGCGGCCCCTGGAATGCGTGGGGGAGGGGTGGGGCGGGGTCTCTGCCCGAAGCGGGCAGGGGCGGGGCTCGTGAGGTCCTGGGGGCTGGAAGTGTAGAGCCGCGCTAGGCACCCCAAAGCCGAGGTAGCCGAGGG